GGCATGGGCAGGGGCCAGGTCCTGCTGGAAGATGAAATCTGCATCTCCATACAGATCCTCAGCAGAAGGAATCATGAAGTCCTCTAAAACATTCTGGTAGACTGTTGCAGTGACCTTGGATTTAAAAAAGCAGAGTTTACCAACACCTGCACCGGACATTGCACCCCAAATCATGACTGACTGTGGATATTTCACACTGGACCTCAAGCAGTATGGGTTCTGTTCCTCACTCTTCTTCCTCCAAACCCTTGGACCTTGATTTCCAAATGAAAGGCAAACTTTACTTTCAAAAGAGGACACAGGAACCCAACAGTTGTAGCCCATCTACCGGATGCATCTGAATGTGGTGGTTTTTGAAGCTGTGACTCCCGCCTCATTCCACTCTTTCTGGATCTTTGCCAGATTCTGGAATCTTCTGTTTGATAATCCACTGAAGCCCACGGTCATCTCTTTTGCTGGTGCATCTTCTCCTGCCACATTTTGCCCTTCCACTAAACTTTCTATTCATATGCTTGGACACAGCACTCTGTGAACAGCCAGCCTCCTTAGCTATGAACTTTTGTGGCTTACACATCCTATGGAGAGCATCAATGATGGTCTTCTGGCCAGTTATGTCTGCCGTCTTCCCCATATTGAACTGAACTGAGACAATTGAACCAAACTGAAGCAATTTAATGACACCTGAGGAAACCTGTGCAGGTGCTTTGAGTTTAGTAGATGATTAGTGTGTCACACTAAGTTTAAAACATACATGCCCTGCAACATTTGGGCTGATTTCTCCACAGTATTTAAATTTTTTTGAATTCCTGTTTTCATGGGTTTCATGAGCTGGAATATCCTACCAGAGTATTATATGTATTTATTAGTATTTCAGCCTGACTACTGTACTGTAACTCTTGTATGTATCAATCACCTGGCTTGGCTCACCACAGGCTCATTGGGGGAGGAGGGAGAGACACCTCTGTATTGCTCGCTACGTTAGTGCCAGCAGTTGTCAACTGGGGTGGTTTGTGGGGGGGAGGATGAGAGAAGTGGAACACTACGTCTGCAGTAGGGGTTGAACGACTACATAAGTTTTAAACTCAACATTAACATAATAAAACTCAAGTAGAACTCGAGTACTTGATGACATCATAGGATCTAAAGATACAAAAATAAATAAATAAATAAAACTGCAAAAAAAAGTAATTATTTACAAAAAAAGGCCAACAAAACATTGGGAGCGTATATTTTGCTCCTACCATTTATCATACTGCAAATAAGTCACAGGAAAAACTAAACTATTAGTTATTATTATTAAACTGCAAAACTCAAAGAAACGTGCAGCACGTCAAAAACAAAACTAAAAACAGTGGGGCGGTCGACCACCCTGCACCACCGCCAGCTGTGGTGTGCATTAGGTTTAGTTTTAGAGATTAATATGTTTATAGGTTTTTATAGGTTTAGAGATTAATATTATTGATGCATTTATACCTGTTTGCCAAGACTGGGCCTGCTCCGCTCCATCCATCTGCTGGGAGAAATCCATTTTGTAACCCGCACCTGGTGCGGATCACGTGACATGTGGCGCAATGACGTAACAGCGACGTAATGACGTCACCACAAATACTCGACATGAAATTAAAAAACTCGGTAGATGTCCTAGGAATCGATGTGTAGATTACCCGAGTAGTCTGTTAAAGCCCTAGTCTGTAACATTTTAGCTACCATGTCTGTATTGTGCACTGCTAGCTTAGCGCTACGGTAGTGCTAGCAGTTGTTGACTGGGGGGTAGAATGCATGAGAGGAGCTGAGTGTGCTTTATTCACACAAGGAGAGCTGTTGGTCAGGCTACTTCTTGTTGTGCCATTAACTCTAAAATAGTTCTTGAATCAAATGTTTACATATACTGGTAGGTAAACATAAATGTTTAAAAACCTATTAACATTCACCACAATGCAGGAAATGATATCTACTGTATTCAACATTTTCTGGGGGAGGATGGTTCTGATAGCTGCTGCCTCTCAGCGAGCAGGTCCCTGGTTCAAACCCCGGTCCAGGGGCCTTTCTGGGTGGAGTTTGCATGTTCTCTCCGTGCATGCGTGGGTTTTCTCCGGGTACTCCGGTTTCCTCCCACAGTCTAAAAACATGCATGTTAGGCTGATTGGTAACTCTAAATTGTCCCTAGGTGTGAGTGAGAGAGTGAATGGTTGTTTGTCTCGTTTGTCTCTATGTGTCCCTGTGATGGACTTGCGACCCGTCCAGGGTGTACCCCGCCCCTCGCACAGTGATTGCTGGACATGGGCACCAGCGACCCCCGTGACCCAAAATGGAATAAGCGGGTAAAGAAAATGGATGGATGGATGGATGGTTCTGATGCCAGTGTTCACAACACATGCTCTAAGCATGACATATTACATGAGATCACACCTAAGATTATTTTCAAGGTTTGTTCAAAACAGCTTCAACTCCATCATTTCTCATATGACTCAGTCTAAAACTCTGGCATGAAAGGTGACAGGTGATATAAAACTCTGAGATGTGGATTTATCCATCTCACATGGATTAATAAAGAAGTGCTGTTAATAAAAAGTGTTGCTTGAGCAGAGCAGCATCCTGATAAATATCTGACTTATCTGTAGCCCATCAGCAGGACCATATTCAACTGGAATATTGATGAGTAGTACCAAAACAGAACAGTGAAATAATGATAAAGTGAAGGAAAAAGGACACTCAACACTTTTAAACTCAGACTAATGGTTCTCACATTAAAATGATCCATTTAAAAGCAGGTATACCAGCACTCCAACAAAAAAAGCAAAATTATACATTTTGTACATTCAAAAAAATCAGGGAACAAACAGCACTCTGCTCTACGTCATATTAGCTTTCAGAGATAAAAACCCAACACTGATTTTATTATAAGCCTGATTTTATTGTTGAATTGATTTAGTTTCTTTTGATGTACCAAACAAAGAAAGAAGTTCTTTTATTCAAACCTAAGGCTACCCAAGGCTCATTTTTACTGTATGATACGTTGCTGTGCATTAGCTTGTTATCTGTAACTGGAGGAAAGGCTGGCTTTGAGCAGAACTGAACTTTTGGATGACTCCACTTGTAAACAGCCAATTTTCCATCTGTTGCTGTATGCCCTGTTTCTGCATTAGTGCTACAGTTAACAACCGGCCTCCTCGAATCTGCCTGTGTGCAAAAAGTGCATCAGCATTTCCTCTTCCAATTTGAATGCGAGGTTCCTCTCCTGCTCTGTCCTGTCACCATGCTCATTGTTGATCTCTTCACACTGCCTCCATCTTCCTGTCTGTGATAAACCACTGTATAAGAAGCCATAAGGTTACTACTGAAATGTAAAAAATGAATGTAATGGCTTCGCAGTGCTCTCTGTCATTGTGCTCAGATGCTACCTCCCAGCTGAGAAGCTTGATCCGTTGCTCTCACAAAACATACTATACATCTGCTAAAAAATCAAATGTTATGTATTACTGTTGTTTGACAAACACAAAAAATAGTTTTTTGTGTTCTATATTAGTATCCATTGTAAAAAAAAAGCAAAACAAAACCTTTTATGGCTCATCAATGGCATTTTTTTCGTAAAGACATCGAGGTAAGAAGTGTTTGTGGAGTGAACAGCGATTAGATTAGGTTTTCTCTGTTACGTGCTGTAATGGTGTTACTGCTGTTTACTTTAGAATTAATTCAAAACTTTTTGCAATATTGAGATTAAAAGAATATGAGCATGGCACGTAGGAGAACTGTGTTAGTAAAAGCCACTAAAACATGCTGAACATCCTTTCCCATGTTGGTTTAATAAAGGTGAACATCCAAAATCACTGTTCATCTACCATCTGTAAATTGAATTTATCCAAACAATCCAGTATCTTTTCCTGTTATAGACAAAGATGTTGTTCTCTCAGACAAAACAACAAAAGCAACAGCATCAAATTTGACAGTGGGCAGTGGTTAAACCCATATCTTTATTGCTAATTGCATGTTTGAGCTTTAGTATATCTGCAGGGAGACATGTAACAGTGGGCGAGGCACATCAACAAATGTAAATACAAATTTAAGTTTAAACCACTGATCTTTGTGTTGCTTCTAATGGATTCTTCTATTTATGTATTTATGAGTAAATAAAAGCAGAATGAAAAAAAACTTAGAGCTGTTTTATTATCCATGTCAATCTCATAGTAGTCCGCTCCATATTGAGATTCAGAGTCCTGGATCCCAAATGAATCCAGAATTGGAAGACGTCTGATCTCAAGAGGTCCTGAACTCAAGGTAGTATCTCTCAAGGGGCAGTGACTAGTTGTAAACCAACAGGTGCAAGTGAGTCTCAAAAAGGTCTGGAAACATTTGTGGGTGTTCTCAATTTTTTGGTATGAGTTGGTCTCTAACTCGTCTCAAGAGCATGTAGTAGTTATATTTTGATATCCGCACATGAGACTACAGCTCAGAGAGTCTAAAGACCCCATCAGACATCTTTATTGTAAAAGTGTACTCCAGCAAATCCGATCTTAAACATGAAACCAACTGTCTAGGTGTTTACAAAGGCAGGCTGATGAAGGAAATGAAATGGGGCATGATTTTCAAGACCAGCCAACACGGGTCAATAGTTGGTTATGATCACTCCAATTTCAGTGTGGCCACATAAAAAAAATGTCCATTTTTTGTATTTTGAGTTGCCAACTAGTCATCAATAGTTGCAGCTACTGAGATACTTCCTTCAAGACACAAAGAACTGCCTCCAAGTGCCATCTAATTCAAGACTCCTCCAAACATCATCCATCTTGGCTCAATAATTCAAAGATGTCTTGGTTTCAATTAGCAGGATTTGCACAATTTTAATACAGATTTAATGTTGTGGCTGATGGGTGTATTACTCAAGTCCACATGTTTTTATATAATCTACTCTAAAGTCTGTAAAATAGATCATTAGGATGAAGTGCTACTATATTTCATTTTGTGGGTAAATAAAGCCAATAATAAAAGTTCACAGATGATCTTCAAGAGCATAATTGGCCTTCGGAACAAAGCAGCATCTTCCTGAAAGTGTGCCTAAGTTCAACACTGCGGAAGGCGTAGATGGCTGGGTCTACGAGGGCGTGGCTCATCATCAGCACCACATGCAGCTGGAACAGAGATCTGTAGCACTCGCAGTAAGGGTTCGTGGGGCACACCATAATAATGATGAGATGGAGAAAAAATGGCACCCAACACACCACAAATGCTCCAAACAGAATGGTGAGGGTCAAAGCCCCTCTCATGTTGCTGCTCCACCTCTGCTGATGCCGAGACGTTCTACCATTGGGAAGAGATGCAATGTTCTTGGCATGGATACGAGCCAACATAAACATGTAGACGTAGAGAAAACAAATGACTACCAAGGAGATGATGAAGAAAAAAACAAGACAGATCATGACGAACTTGAAGTCAAAAAATTTCACCATCAGCACGGCCAACACTCCACATGTTGTCCAGATGGCTCCTAAGATGGCTCCAGTTCGCTGCATTGTCATAATGTTGTGGTATCGTAGCGCATGGAAGATGGTGATATAACTAAAGGACATAAAACAAAAATATATTTAATCAGATTATCTTTTACTTTACAGAGTTTCATCTGAGCACATGCTTTTAAATAAACTAAATACAAAGCTCTAGACAAAGTTTGCAGCAATAAAATAAAAGACATTCTAGTTTATGAAGTACTTTTGAGGAGAAGCTGTTGCACAAAACAACTGTTACCCATACATTTAATAACCAAGTGACCATGTTCAAATATTTTCAGCCTTCTGCAATCCCTAAGTGATTAATGAGGCTTTCAAGTAAACTGAAAGCTTGTAAAGTTGGGAGAGTATGAAGAGTAATGTTGGAAATACCTACAAACCTCACACAAAATGTTGAATTTTAATGTACAATATAAGATCAAAGTTAGTTAAATAAAACAAAAAAAATGAACACATAAGAAACATTAATTTTGTGTGAAAGAGATGCAGCTTTTTTATTAAAATATCTACTGTCTAATCAAAACCACCTTTTATGAGCTGGAACAAAGCTTTTGAAAAATAATAAATTATTTGTGGTTAAAAATGCAGAAAGCAAAGTGATAGGCTTTTGTCAGGAGAACTGCGACCAATAAATTTAAACCTTTCAAAATTGTTTCTGAAACACTTGGTAGTGCGTCACTTTACTTTGGTAGTTTAGGCTGAGGATTTAAATGAATTATTTAAAAATCATGCATGTATGTATGTATGTATGTATGTATGCATGTATGCATGTATGCATGTATGAATATATGTATGTATGTATGTATGTATGTATGTATGTATGTATGTATGTATGTATGTATGTATGTATGTATGTATGTATGTATGTATGCATGTATGTAGGTATTTATGTATGTAGGTATGTTTGTACTGTAGGTATGAATGTACTGTAGGTATGTATGTAGTCAGGTATGTTCTGTAGGTATGTATGTACGTAGGTATGCATGTACTGTAGGTATGTATGTAGGTAGGTATGTACTGTATGTATGTATGTATGTATGTATGTATGTATGTATGTATGTACAT